GAGCCGGTGAGATTAGAACCACTGAACTGCAGATAACAGTCAGCTGAAGTGGCCTGCAGTACTGCACCTTAACCACTGCGCCACCTCGGCTCTATTCAGTGTATGAGATGCACTCAGATTTTCAGCCTCTTTTTTGAAGGAAAAAGGTGCGTCTTATATTCCGAAAAATACAGTAGTTAAGGTCATCAACTAGATGGATGCATTTAGTACCATATTTCCCCCAAAATAAGCCCTAATGCATCTTTTGGAGCAAAAAACAATATAAGACCTGGTCTTATTTTGAGGGGGGGAAACACGGTACTGATTTTGATAAAATTGATCTGTATCTCCTCTATGGTTTGGAGGAAGCCAAGCAATGAGGTTGTCCTTTCAAGTATTTTTATTCTACTGTTGTGGCCCACCAGCCACCAGCGGAACTGGCAGCAGAGTCGGCCATTGGCCCCTCCCATAGGACATACAAGAGGAGTGAAAGGGAAGGGGGCTTTTGCAGGAAACAATTCGTTCGTTCGGTCGTTAGATTCGTTTCAGGAGTGTGAAGATCTGTCCGTGAATCTCAAGAGACTCTGTGCCAGAGTCTTTCCTTGCACAGCACCTCATTGGGAAAAGATTTACATGGCAGCTTTCCAAGCTAGATAAAGTCTGTGGTCGTAAATATTCCTTTGAAAGACTGTTTGCCAGGACTTTGCTGAATGTGAAGGAGAGGAATTCACATTCGTGGAATAAAAGGGGTTTGATGGGGACCAGGATTCAGCCTCGTGCTTTTTGGGGAAACCTAGGTTAGAACATATATTCCTGAAGATATAACAAATATAACGTTTTATACCAAGGGGGGGGAGGGGGGAGAGAAGCAAAATGGGCATTACCTGGTCTCCAGGGGAATGTTACTGTTTAGTAACCAGTTGTCCTGAGCATGAGTAGGTTCTTGGTTCCCTGCTTGATGTTCTCCGGAGAGCGAGTGGTCCGTAGGGGCAGGGCTGGGATTACTGCGTGGTGTGTAGTTCCCTCGGTTTAAAGAGTTGATGGACGCGGCGTGGTGTTGGTTCAGCGTGTGGGCGTGAGAGAGAGGAGGCGGAGTGGTCCGGAGTCGGGAGGGGTTCGAAAGATTCGGATGATCTGGGGGAGGAAATAAAATAAACCGTGAGCGGGCTTCGAAATCACAACTCCCATGGCTCGCGTGACCCTTCGTTAAGGATTCGCTTAACGAGCGTATGATTCACTTAACAGCTGCAGTAATTCACTTAAGAGCCATGACTAAAAGGTTGCAAACTCGGTTGCGGCTTACTCAAATAGCGCCTTGCTTAGCAACGGAAGTCTGTTACTAGTTGTGGTCACTACGTCGAGGACGTCCCATATCTCACAAGGCAAGTTCCTACCTAAGTCCTTTGCATGTTGACAAACCTCCGGCACTCCTTATTACACACCTGGCTGGATGCCGTCACACGCTTGCAGAAATAGACACATATCTCCTTTATCATTCCATCACAAGCAATACCACGTATGAAAAGTACATACATTTCCTATACGAAAATAAAGATTGCGCTGTTGAAGGCCGGAGGCAAGAATCAATAATTTGCAGGTCAACAAAAGATGCTGCATAAACATGGGAAAGAGGGAGAGAAAGGGAGAGAGAGAAAGGGGGAGAAAGAGAAAGAGAGAGGGGGGAGAAAAAAGAGAAAGAGAGAAAGGGAGAGAAAAAGAGAAAGGAAGAGAGAAAGAGAAAGAGGGAGAGAAAGAAAGAGAAAGAAAGAAAGAGAGAGAGAGAAAGGGAGAGAGAGAAAGGGGAAGAAAGAAAAAGGGAGAAAGAGAGAGAGAAAGGGAGAGAAAAAGAAAAAGGAAGAGAGAGAAAGAGAGGGAGAGAAAGAAAGAGAAAGAAAGAAAGAGAAAGAGAAAGGGGGAGAAAGAGAAAGGGGGAGAAAGAGAAAGGGAGAAAGAGAGAGAGAAAGGGAGAGAAAGAGAGGGAGAGAGAAAAAAGAGAAAGAAAGAGAGAAAAGGAGAGAAAAAGAGAAAGGAAGAGAAAGCGAGAGGGAGAGAAAGAAAGAGAAAGAGAGAGAGAGAAAGAGAAGAGAAAGGGAGAGAAAGGGGGAGAAAGAAAAAGGGAGAAAGAGAGAGAGAAAGGGAGAGAAAGAGAAAGAGAGGGGGAGAGAAAAAAGAGAAAGAGAAAGGGAGAGAAAAAGAGAAAGGAAGAGAGAGAGAAAGAGAGGGAGAGAAAGAAAGAGAAAGAAAGAAAGAGAGAGAAAGGGGGAGAAAGAGAAAGGGAGAAAGAGAGAGAGAAAGGGAGAGAAAGAGAAAGAGAGGGAGAGAGAAAAAAGAGAAAGAGAAAGGGAGAGAAAAAGAGAAAGGAAGAGAGAGAGAAAGAGAGGGAGAGAAAGAAAGAGAAAGAAAGAAAGAGAGAGAAAGGGGGAGAAAGAGAAAGGGAGAAAGAGAGAGAGAAAGGGAGAGAAAGAGAAAGAGAGGGAGAGAGAAAAAAGAGAAAGAAAGAGAGAAAGGGAGAGAAAAAGGAAGAGGGAGAAAGAGAGAGAGGGAGAGAAAGAAAGAGAAAGAAAGAGAGAGAGAGAAAGAGAAGAAAGGGAGAGAAAGTGAGAGAGAGAAGAAAAAGAGAGAAAGAAAGAGAACGAGAGAAAGAGATAAAAGAAAGAAGAAAGAAGGAAAGAAGGAAAGAAAGAAAGAAAGAAAGAAAGAAAGAAAGAAAGAAGGAAAGAAAGCTACTGTGAATAAATACATGCCAGTTGCCAAGTGCCCGAATTTTGATGGCGTGATCATGGGGATGCTCAAATGGTCATTAAGTGTAAAAAACGGTCATAAGTCACCTTTTCTCAGTGCCATTGTAACTTTGAACCTTCTTAAACAACCCTTTAATTTCTGGGCTACGGGGAAAAAAAATAAACGCATTGCCCCATCTGCTCTCCGAAACTTTCCTTTCCCAAGATACGCAGGACCCCAGATGAGTTGCCGTCTTCTAGCTCAACGCGGCCAAAGCTATTTTTATCGGCACGATCTTGCCCCCCGCTTCTTCTTTTTTACCTCAACCCCGAAGTGAAGGAAAAAGTTCACACAACCTTTAGGGGGTCCTTCTCCGCTTGCCTGCCTCTTCTTCGACAGGAAGATGGATCATACAGCAGACGCGGGGAGTAAAAATCACTCCAACAGCTCAGCGGGAACCCAAACAGCTCATCTTTACCTGTCTAGCAACTTCAACGCTTCCCTCATCCCTTTAAAACTCATCCTGGAAAGTCAAGAGCCAGGAAAATAAGAAAGTCATAGAAAATACCGTATTTTTCGGAATATAAGACACACTCCCCCTTCTAAAAGAGGGTGAAAATGTGGGTGCGTCTTATACACCAAATGTAGCCTCCCCCACATGCCAACCTCGCCTTTTCACCTCTGTCTCCCAGCAATTTGCCTCCTTCAGTTTCTGTTTCAGTGTAACCTGATTAGATTCCACCACAAATCCGCGAAGCCCTTATCTGCGGAGACATAAGCGCGAAGACTAATTCGCGCCGTTCTAAGCGCTAAGGAAAAACGTGACCCTACCACGATGACATAATCG